ACGCAATCACGGCGCAGTAGGAGCAAAGTGGGACCTTTGGTTCCACTGGAACTATTCTATCCTTTGGTTCCGGAACATTGCTATTAGGGGCAGATTGGATATAACAATCGCCTCAGTCATTCCACGGGTCCACGACCCTCAAGGTTGATTGAAGTAAGTGCTACGGTATGCTTGTTTTAGAAAATTAGCCCACATCCACTTTTTTTAGACATTGATAATTCTATCTTGTAATTTTGATCTTGGAATTCGTCCTTCGATTAGTGGGAAAACTTGATCTAAAAATTATACATAGTCTCCCTTTGCGCCTCCCGCCTTCATTCTCCGCCTTCCAGTTGCCAGATTACTTGCTTCCACTTAACACATGTTAGGCACTTTGGGGCTGAGTTTTGCACTGACGCTTGGAAAATTGTAGCAGAAAAAAATCTTTTAACTCTCGGATCAAATGCTGCCGTTTATTTCTCATTTTCCTATCCTACCTACTCGAGTAACTTAAAATTAGGCAAATGAGAAGCGCGTGAATTAAAAAGCGAGGAGATAGCTTTTCGGTTTCTAGAAATGTCGGCAATTAGCTACAGCAAATGGGATCACATCGAGGTACACGATCCGCCTCTTCATTCATTATTAGATTTCCGATGACGAAGACGACACTCACCCGAATATTGATACTCCCAGCCTTTTCCGTTGGCGTCACCAGGCCAGACTCGAAAGAGACACTGCCTGGAAAAAGGAGAAAGAAGAGTTTGAGAAGGATCTGAAAGCTCACCTTAAAGCCTATCAGTCTGCTCGAGAGGAGTACGAAGCAGCTGCCAAAGTAGGTTTCATAAATTTTTGACTGTCAGGCCAAAGCACCTAACCTGAAAGAACTTGAGGAGAAGTTAAATAAACTAAAAGTGGAAGATGCAAAATGGCAAGAGAGGCAAAAAGAAATGGCAAAAAAAGAAAGGGTACACATTTTTCATTTTTTTTCATAATTATACATAGTTGAGGCCTCTGAACATTGACACCATTTGTAAGGAAGGGAAGTCGAAAACGGTGAGTACCAAAACCTGCACTATTTTATCTGCCTTATGAGTCCTATAATCATACCCATCTATCTGTCTCTGTCCCCAAATTCATGGTGTTCCCTGTTTTGATATATGTTGAAATTGAGTTATTCTTCGAAAATCCTCTTCCCGCAGGAACGCACTCGTTAGCTTTATGAGTAGTTTTACAACCAGGTCCGGAAAGTTTTAATCAGTATTACCACGGATGTCCCAATACTCAGTGCCACTCCTTTAGCCGTTATTACTGTCATCACCGTCATCATCCTCTTCGCCTAATATGAGCCCGAGAAGTCCAGCTGGGGTTAAGTGGCACATTTCCAGGTTCCTAGTTAATAATACGAACAATTACAGGCTCCCGAATTTAATATTGAGTCTTTTACTTAATTCTCCGGGGTTTTGTTTGACAACAGCATTTTAAACCAAACTCATGGTTTACTACCAACGAAATACTAGAAAAGTGCTTGTCAGGGAGAGGATCTTCTTCGCTAACGGCGTGTATGGTTACTCGGGATAACTACGTAGACTGTCCATGTTGCCCATGTGTCTGCAACTTGTTGTAATAAGAATAGGCACAATCTCTCAGACAAAAAAGTCCGAACAGAGGAGCACCCTGGAAGTGGGATATATTCATCTTATGATTGACGTATGTGAAATAAAACGAAACACAATGGTAGAGAGATACAAACTGCTCTGAGTAGCAACTTAGCCTGACACTACGTCAGTTATGTATGTATCTTATAAGCCACTAGTCGAATTTCGTTGCATACAGTATGGCAAAGACTGCCCACCGGCTTGTTGTTTTCTGTTCATACATTTGTTTTTATTTTGTCTACCAGCGTACCGAAATCCTACAGTCTCAGTAATATGTACTCACCTACTGTTGTCGTCACCTTCATATATGACATATAGAATTGAACTTCACATCTCATAATTTTCCTCTCAAAAATTATCGCGCATTTTCGAGATTATATTCAACGTAGCTAAACAAGAATCAGACTTCAGTCACGTACTGATTTTTGCCTAAAAATCTTTGATTCTGACTTAATTGGACCCCTTTCAAAGTCTCTTTTGGCTTAGCAATGTCATCTTGCCCAAACGACCCCAGACATTCGAATCAGGGTTCGAAATGCTTCCCTCCGCACAAGCTGACATTCTGACGGGAATGCCGTCATTATATTAATGGTAAACCAGCCAGCTATGGGTTTGCTTTAAAATCCCTCCATAAATTTTGCAGCTCCATGGAAGAGCCACACTTGGACGGCAATGTTGACTGCCTGTAGCACTTGCCAAAATCCATTTAACAGAACATACCATTTAAGGCCCATGACCCGCGTCTCGTTGCTATTCTAAAAACTCGTTTTCAGGTAAAAATACCCCGATTCGTGCCTACTCAAAGTATTTCGAATTGGTTATTAAATGGTAGAGGTTACAATTCAAAGTATTCTTTTGCACTTTTAGATCATCAACGCTGCCGCTCTACAGCACGAAGAGAAGAATGAGGAGGATGCGGCTGATCGTCTTAAGTCCTTTGTAGAAAAACATGACAAGGAAATTAAGAAGTTGGGCATGTTTCGGAAACCTGTTGATACTCAAAAGTATCTTATTGAGAACCCAAATCTGGTCTGTGAGGAAACAGCCAACCAACTGGTTCTTTGGTGCCTTGACCTCGCCATGGAGGAGGTAAATTTTATACAGTACTTTATTTGCTAACGTCCAGTTTTATAAAAATTCATTAATTTCAAAGTCACTTTCTGATTTTGTCTTATGCATCAGCGAGCTTCCTCCTGATTTACAGTTAGAATTCTGTAAACAAAGCCCGTGTAGTTTTCATATATTGTTTTTTACCGGCATTCTTCAAGCATTTTGCATCTTTTTTGTAGAAATTCGAACTAATGGACCACGTCTCCCATCAGTGTATTGTCATGCAATTCATGCTTGAGCTAGCCAAATCTTTGAAATGTGATCCACGATCTTGCATTCGACCATTTTTCGCCAAGTAAGTAATCTCACTTTCCTCAAAAATAATCGTAAGTTTGTACTTTTGAATGCCATAGTTGATATCCTTCGAGGTCTTCCTTGCCATAAGTAACAAAACTGCACTACCTGTTGGTTAGTTTGCTAGCTGTACAGTTTTCCCTGTTCCCTACTGATCGAGAATCAGGCTTTGTGGATGCTAAATAAGCATTCGTCATACTAGACTAATGCTCCTTGAGGAAAATACGGTAGGCATCCTGGTATTTGATGGGACTTTAAGCGGTAAACATACGACGATGTAGTAACGCGTTTATACAAGGGAGGCCAGTTACCAGCATGTCTTTTTGTAGACGAATTGAAGGAATAACTAGGACCATCTACGAACGATGTTTGGCATGGTTGGACACATTCTCAGTTGTCCATCTCCATGAATTAATTATCGGTGAATCAGTTCCAGCATTATTCATTGGGAGGGCCAAAAAACTAAATATGGCCTTTCGATTGCTGAAGAATGACAAGGGTTAAGTTCCAGATCCTCCCCTTCCTAGGGATCGTTGCTCACGTTTTGTGCTTTTGCCGATCTTCTGTATAATGATTCCGCCAGGTCCATGTTCCCACCTCATGGTATCACAGGTAATCGCCTTCGTAGTTGGCTATACTCTCTCGAAATAAGTCGGGTCACTTATAACGTCAACTAGGTAGACCTGTGACCCCAGACCCAGATATGCGCTCGAGGTGGACTTTCTCCACGT